CTCTCTCTCTCTCTCTCTCTCTCTCTCTCTCTCTCTCTCTCTCTCTCTCTCTCTCTCTCTCTCGCGCGCGCGCGCGCGCGCGCGCGCGCGCGCGTCATCGTTGCCATGTCCGTTATAGTTGTCGTCGTCGGCTGTGGAGAAGTAGAAATCAATTTTGTTTTTGTCTTTTTTTTTCATTGAAAGATTCATCTGCACAGAGGATCGACGAGAGGTAGAGGAGAAGGAGGAGAAGGAGGAGGAAGGGGAGGATGAAAAGGAGGATGGCGGGATCGAGGTGCAAGATTCGTCGAAGGAGTATTGTCCTCCACCCTTTGGCAGGATCGAGGTAATGTATGAATGTACCATGATTTTTATTTTATTTTTATTTTATTTTATTTTTGCCAGAAAATATGTCAATTCGGATAGACATCCGGAATGTCAATCCGGAACATTCTGGAGTTCTGGAGTTTCGGGAGGGCCCGAAAAGTCCGGGATCCGGCGGGATCCGGGGCCCGGATTCGTTCCGGCGTAGCCATGGTTTAAAGCTTCTTTTATCTTTTTTTTTTTTTTTTTTTTTTTTGCTTTTGGTTTATTTGGTGTCCACTCTATGGACTGGTGACAAGTCTGGCGTAAAAGGTATGGGACGTTTGTTTTAATGACCCTGAAAAAATCCTGAAAATTTCGAACTTTGTTAACCTCTTCTTAGTCTGGGGATGGTAAGACGAGGAGAAGCGGAGCTGGGTACCGTAAACCTCGTGGAGCCGTCGCCAGAATCGGCTGGTAAAGCATGGGTCATGGTCGGATATGATGCTCAGAGGTAAGCCATGGTCACGCACGACTTGGTCAAACACGATGTCGGCGACCTCATGTGCACTGATGGCATACTGGCAAAGAACAAAGTGTGCACGCTTTGTGAAGTGGTCGACGACGACCAGGATAGCATCATGACCGCGGGGGGTCAGAGGATGAAGAGGACCGATAAAGTCCATCGAGATGGACTGCCAACGACCCTCAGGGATAGGAAGAGGCTGGAGAAAATCATAAGGCAAGTGGTTCGCATTGTTCACCTCCTGACAGGTGGGACACTTTGCGACGTAGTCCTTCACAAAGTTCTTGCGCTTCGGCCAGACGTACAGGCGGCTCAGATGAGCCAACATCTTGTGGAAGCCCATATGATCAGCGGATGCCTCGTCATGGAACTCTGCTACTGCCCGGACACGTAGCTGTCCAGTGGAGGGAACGCAAATACGGGGCTCTCTGGTGCCCTGTGAACCGTGCCAGTACACAAAACAGTGGTCCCCGAGAGAGTAGTTCGGGACGGTTTTGCCACTCCGAAGGATCGCGTAGATGTCGCGATAGTCGGGGCAGTGGCGGTACTGAGTGCGAAACTCGTCGATCACCGAGTGGTGGACGGAGGTGACCGAGATGGAAGCGAGATGGATCTGCTCCTGATCGTGGTCAGGGCGTCGGGATAAGGGATCTGCGACCCGATTAGTCTCACCCATGATGTGCTTAGTGGTGAAACTAAACTCCGATAGGTTGCGCCACCAGCGAGCCTGTTGAGAAGTGAGCTTCGGTTTTGTCATAAAAGTCTGGATAACAAAGTTGTCCGTGCGCACCGTGAATGGTGCCCCGTGCAGGTAGTGACGCCAGTGCGGAGCGACATAAACTACTGCTTATCTCGGCGGGAAGGAGTTGAAGGGAGTAGAAGGCTATCGGACAATCACATGAGCGAGACTGGACAGTGTCGTCCCCGGCAATGGTAGGAGAATAGTCAATAGAAGGCTCGTCAGTAGCTGGACGAGTAGGCGTCAGGCGGGAGGCAATGGTAGGGGTAGGGGGTGGGAAGCGAGGGATACGAGGATGAGAAGAATCAGAAGAGGAGGGGAAAATTTGAGAAAGCATTGCTCCTACAGCAAAGTCTGACGCATCGGTGGTAAGGATAAAAGGGCGATCAAAATCGGGTAGGTGAAGAACCGGTGCGCATGTCACCGCCTTCTTGAGGGCGCGGAAGGCGTCCTCGTGGAGGGGTGTCCAAGCCCAGGGCGGGTTCTTCCTGAGGAGGGTGGAGGTAAGGACGTAGGAAATACCTAGCTTATCCCTGGATGAAATTACTATAGTAGCTGGTAAGACCTAGGAAGCTGCGAAGCTGCTTGGCGGATGTGGGGACGGGCCACTCCGCAATAGCAGTGATCTTCGCGTCATCCATGTGGAGACCCTGGTCAGACACGTAGTGTCCTAAGAAATCCACTTTGTGCTGGGCAAAGCGGCACTTGCTCAGCTTAGCGTAAAAGTCATGTCTGCGCAAGCGGTCAAGGACGTCGCGGAGGTGTCTGAGGTTCTCCTCAAGGGTACAACTGTAGACCAGGATATCGTCGAGGTAGACGAGAACGTACTGCTCCAGGATGTCCCTGAAGATGTCGTTCATCGCCCTCTAGAAGGTAGCGGGTGCGTTGGTGAGGCCGAATGGCATCATCGTAAACTCGTAGTGGTCGAAGCGTGATCGGAACGCTGTCTTCCGCTGGTCCGCTGTAGCGACGAGGATCTGATGGTAACCGCTACGAAGATCAATCTTCGTGCTCAGCGATCGAACAGCTCGTCGGAACGAGGCATGGGGTAGTTGTTCTTAACCTTGTAGCGGTTGATACCGCTATAATCGATGCAGAGACAGAGAGTTCCATCCGCTTTGCGAGCAAAGAGGACGACGGGTACACCCCACGGGGAGTTGTTGGGTTTTATGAAACCCAGTCTCAGGAGCTCCTCAAGCTGACGCTTGAGTTTAGTGGCCTCGGGGATCGAGAGTCTGTAGGGTGCCTGGTGGTGAACACGATAGTCAGGCACAAGCTAGATGGAGTGCTCGACGTCGCGCATCGGTGGGATGTCGGCGTACGAGAACGACGATGGGAAAACGTCGTGGTACTCTCGAATGAGGTTAGGAACTGCGGGCTCCAGGTCAGTCGTATATCGTGCGAGTTCCTTAGCGTCAGCGTCAGCGCGCGATGGTGGGGTGGACTCGACGGACGGTGGAGGGTGGGAAGTAGAKATGGGAGCCATGGAGATAGAAGGAGGATCTGGCTCCAGAGGGATGAGCTCGGCGTCGGGACAGGGTGGATCATAGTGTAAGAGATTCGTAACGTTCACCATAAAGAAGGTGACGTCGTCCTGTCGGATGAAGTGAGCAAACTGCCGAGGTGAGGTGACAGTGACCGTAGGAGATAGTGTGCGCACGGAAGGCTCCAGGGGAGGAGGATCGGGGCGTGGTGTCGCGGTGGTACCTATGAAAGGTACGGGATACGTTTGTCCACACTTCGTTTTGAGAACGAGAGTGTTGGTCACCCAATTGACCTCGGTGCTGCGGAACTGACGAGACCACGGAGTGCCGAGAATGAAGTCGTACCCCGTCTCCATCGCATCGAAATGTGTAGAGGAGCGGTGGCGACGAGACGCCGGGGGACGATCCAAGAGTGAGGAAGAAAGGAAGATCGGTGACCGTCTGATCGAAGAAGCGCTGGGTCTTGGCATCCCCCAGGGTGACGGAGATGGGAGTCGGAGACCCTGTCGTGGGTAAGCGGGCTTCCTTCACCACGCGTGGGTGAATGAAGTCGCCCTGAAAACCGCAATCCCATAACGCTGAGTACACCCTCGTGGAGGTCCCGAGTCGTACGGGGATGATCGGGAGGGTGCGATCAGGGTCAGAGAGGATGGTGAGAAGGTGACACAATGCAGCAACATGAAGGGTGAGTCGCTCCTGACGAGCCTGGACTCCTGAGCATGCTCAAGTCCGGAAGAGAGGACACAACGTCCTCGCGAGTCGCAAGCTGCTCGCTGCAACGGGCTGAGCGAATAGCTCGACGCGTCGGTAGTCGCGGCTGGGTAGAAAGGGGGACGGTGGTCTGCGGAGGCGCAGACGGTACTACGACAGAGGGCTGAGTACACTCTGTCGGGTCCTGCGATACCTCCGCTCCAGTAGCGAGAGCGTCGAACCGCGACGGAGATGTCGAGAAGCCCACTACTGAGGAGGGCGCAGGTGTACAGTGGCTAGGAGGCGTGGGGATGCAAGGCGCCGGGGGGGGACTGAGGACGAAGCTGGCGGGAAAGGTCAGCGTAGTGGCGGTCAAGGGCGGTGGTGTAAGGGCACCGCGAGAAGGTATGACCGTTCTGGCGGCATCGCAAACACCCACGCCGGCCCAAAATAGCCGCGCGCTCCTCAGCGGAAAGGACACAGCGAGGAGGGACAAAGCCCTGAGGGAGGTCCTGCTGAGGGACCTCAGGGGGTGACGCACCAGCGTGACCGGAGCAGCTGCGTGTCCGGGAGAGGGCGGAGAGGATGAGCTGGAGGCGCTCGGCCATAGGGAGGGTAGAGTCCTCCAGGTGGTAGTGGACGGCCTCGCCGAGGTCGAGGTCCTCGCTATGGTCACCCTCGGGCGACAGCGGGGCAACAACGTCCTGCTCACCATACTCGAGCGCGATGAAGCGGCGCGAGAAGTGGCAGCCCTGCTGCGCGGAACGGCGGGAGCGACCGCGGAAAAGGAAACGGTGTTGGGAAGTGCCGTGAGAGGAGGAGGGGGCGTAACCAGTACGCTAAGGCTGGGAGGAGGAAGTGTGTTGAAGATGGGCCCGCATCCGCTGATGGTCCCGAGCGGCCTCGTAAGCCTGAGGGGCCGATGTGAGCTCGTACCGCCGTAACTCGGAGCGGTACTCAAGGGGAAGGCTGGCCAAGAAACGATCGATAAGGGCAGCCTCGGGAAGGAACGCCACATCACAAACGAGGCGGGTGTCCTGAAAGACCTGGATGTGGCGATCCAGGACGGCAGCGCCACCAGAGTCGGACCAGCGTGTAGTGACGATACGCTCGAAGGCGTCAGTCACGTCATGTCGGGCTCCAAAGCGATCCTCGAGGAACGCCTGGAAATCCATGAAGGTCGGAGTGCGACCCGCGAGAAGGGAGTTAGCGTAGAAATTGTCCCAGGCGTCAAAAGGACCGCCACGCAAGCGAGTGGAGAGGTGAGTCACCCACGTGTCGGGTGAGGCGCCCATGAGCTGGAGCATGCGGGTGGCAGACTGTAGCCACTTAGACACGCGAATGCTTGTACCGTCATACAAGGCAATATCCGTCAAGCGGACGAGTGGTGCGCCACCGTTTTGGCGGCAAGGAAAGCGGGGAGCAAAGGCCTGCGCTACGACTGAGTAAGTCGGCGCAGGTCTTGGAGAAGCGGGTGCAGCTGACTGTCCGCCCGAGCCGCATGGTGGAGCAGCGGGGGGAACAGCGGCAGGCTGCGAGGGAGTTGTGGTAGAAGAGTTCGCAGTCGTCGAGGGAGTAGGAAGGAGGTAGGATGGGGGTGGAGGGGGTGCAGAGCGGGGGAAGCGAGCCGACAAGAATGGAAGAGTAGAGGAAAACGGGGGTGCGCCCAAAGGCGCGGCCACCTGTGAGCATGGGGATGGCTGAAGGCGTAAGAGGGCGAGGTCGGCCCGGATCTGGGCAAGATTGTCCTCGAGACATTGAACGTAGATCGAGCGAGGAGTGGAAGGAGCAAGAGTGGGGGAAGTGGACGCACGAGCAGCGCGGGGCATCCTATAGGGGGGAAAGCCAGGTGGCGCTGCGGTCGTACGAAGGGGAGGAAGAAGTGGGGCACCCGGAAAAACTGAGACCACGGCAGGAGGTTGTGGTCCCGTAGCCGTAGTGACCGGAATCTGGGCGGGTGTGCCCGTAGGGTGAGGGAGGGTCTGGCCCGTGGTGGCCATCGCGCTAGGAGCGTGGGCGGTTACCAGGATGGACGGGTCGAGAGCGGCAGAGGAGGAAACTCCGTCGTGGCCACCATGTCGAAGGACGGGGGACCCAGACTGGGAGCCAGGAGAAGAGAGAGAGAGTGGGGAGAGGAAGGACGCCCAGCGTCCTGGAGTTGCCGCAGGCCAGCGTCAAGAGTCGCCATTTGCGTCTGTAAGGGCGCAAGAAGGGAGGTAATGAGGGTGTACAAATCCCCCTGATGCTGATGGCCCTGGTTCGTTGACCCGGGTGTGGAGCCCGATGCTGAGGTCGTCGCCGCCTCGGCGGCTTGTGACACGCCGTCGGCCATGGGAAAATAACGGGTCGGACTAGAGAGGGCCGGAGGAGGTCCGCATGAGCGGAGGGCGTAGGGGGAGGTCTGCGATAAAAAGCGACGGGCGACGCTAGTAAATCGAGCGCGGGCGCTGTCAAAGGGGGAGGGGTGGTTCGGATCCAGGGTGGCCGAATGAGAAGGGAAAGTAAGGCGGGTTAGAAAAACCCTAAACCCTAGAAAACCCCTAAGAAAACCCTAACTGGAGTTTGAGTGGTTAGGGTAGGGTACCGGTGACCTAATCAAGAAAATAAAATAGCAAGCATAAGGGGGGGAAGGCAAGAGAAAAATAAAAAAACAACAAACTTTCGAGAGAAAAATAAAAACAAATAAGGAAATAAATAAATAATAAAAATAATTAAAAAAATAAGGAAACAAGATATGAGGAGAGAAGTAATATTTATTTTTTTAGAATTTTCGGCAGCATTTCCCTACCCCCCATGGGGTCAAGAATGTACCAAGGGGAAAGGAGAGACCAAGATAAGCACACCAGGTTTCAAAATGCCGCAAATTAAAAATTTCATAAAATAAATAAATAATAAATAAGTAAATAAATAAATAAGTGAATAAGTGGATGAGGTGGAGATAAATATCTGATTTTTCAAAAACTTCGGCAGCATTCGTTATCCCCATGGGGTCGAAGTGTGCCGAGAAAGACTAAGTGAAAGAAAAACTGAAAATTTCGGCGGCACTTCGTTACCCCCACGGGGTCAAAATGTGTGCCGAGAGCAAAAAAGACCAACTCCTAGTCAGATTTAAACCACCAGTACCCTGCCCAGCCAAAAAAATTCGACCTCCTGAATTCATGGAGGTCATTTACAGGGCTGGTAGAGGCCAGGTAGAGCCTCGGTAGAGGTGCGGGGGGTCGCTCGTTTTGAAAACGAGAAGGAACGACCAGAGAAGTAACAAAAGAAAAAAAAAAAAAAAAG